AGAGAATTTGAACCGAAATTTTAATTTTCTTTCCAGTACACAAAAAAAGTCTTTGGGCCATACTTAAAATATGTTTTTTTCTTCTTGTTAATTAAACATAAAAACAATCCTCAGAACACGGGAAATCGCTTCTGAGACGTTCTAGAAAACACATTTTTTTGGGTGGGAGATCCCCCAAACCCCCCTTACGGGAGGGGGAAGACCCCCTCCTGTACCTTCCCCTTACTCGCGCTACGCGCTCGGCCCCCCCTTTCAGGAAATCCTGGATCCGCCCCTGCATGGTCCCTTGGTAACATACAGTACATGTATGTTTTATGTGTTAAATAGCACATAGATGACAGGAACATAATTCACTTAGTTCAAGGCGTATTAAAACTCAAACTATACTACAGAAAAACACAATCGTCGACCGGGAAATTGACAATTCATTAAAATCTGTAATGGAAATTCTTTCCTTTGTAAAATTGGCCTGGTTACCTCCCCTCTTTGTATTTTATGTAATTCTGAAAGAGAAACTATCACTCATATTTTGTGGGAATGTAATGAAGTACAGAATTTACTACAAAGTTTTGAAATGCTTTTACAGGCATTACTTATTCCTTTTTCAATAAACAAAAAATCTTTTCTCTTTGGATTGCTATCTTTTAATCATCCTCCTGTCAACAGGGTTGATAATGAAATTATCATTATTATCAAGCAGTACATATACAGAATGAGATGTTTACACAATTCTTTACATATACACTCATTAATTAACATAATTAAAGACAATTATAGAGTTCAAAAATATATTGCAACTGGTAAGGGCGACTCTGTGAAGGAAAAAATAATTAATTCTTTCTACATGCTATTTGTCTGTCCAGCCAATAAAGTGCGATATACATTCATGTAAATCTGATCTTATTTATCACTGCAGGTATACAATAGATAATTTATTGTTTATTTTTTTTTGTTACTGCATATGCTTCCTCAACTTTATGTGTATGATGTCAGGATGTGAGTCATGTGACGTGTGGAAGGTGATCTTGTTTTCTTGATAATAACAGTGAGGATGATGATCACATGTACATGATGCAAGTATTTATGGTAATGACCAGTGTTGATTTGTATTTTTTCTCTGTATGATTACAACGATACAATGATATTGCTTTGATGATGATGATGATGATGATGATGATGATGAGATGATGATGATAATGATGATGATACATTGTATNAATTAATTCTTTCTACATGCTATTTGTCTGTCCAGCCAATAAAGTGCGATATACATTCATGTAAATCTGATCTTATTTATCACTGCAGGTATACAATAGATAATTTATTGTTTATTTTTTTTTGTTACTGCATATGCTTCCTCAACTTTATGTGTATGATGTCAGGATGTGAGTCATGTGACGTGTGGAAGGTGATCTTGTTTTCTTGATAATAACAGTGAGGATGATGATCACATGTACATGATGCAAGTATTTATGGTAATGACCAGTGTTGATTTGTATTTTTTCTCTGTATGATTACAACGATACAATGATATTGCTTTGATGATGATGATGATGATGATGATGATGATGAGATGATGATGATAATGATGATGATACATTGTATGAAATATGATGAGATATTGTTTTTCATTAAAAAAAAAGTGATGATGAAGGTGATGAGAATGATGATGAGGATGGTGCATGTCTGTGAGATGTGTTGGTAATGAGGCTATTGTTTATGATGGATGATGCTTGATGAATGATGATAATGATCATTGCTAATTTGATGAAGATGTATATTGCACATGAAAATGAAAATAAAAATCAAATTAAAAAAAAAAAAATCTGTAATGGATGAAAGTGTCGCTGACAGAACGCTGCGAGACAGATACAGCCAACGAAAGCGAGGAAGATGTTTGAATAGATTAATGAACTGTTTATTTGAAGGTATATCTGGTATGGTAACATAAAAACGCATACAGAAATGTATAGTATATGTAATGAGAATAAATATGTCGAACATCGTCAACCAAAGCAGAGACGTATAATACAACGTCTCTGGTTTAAGCTTACTGGTCCCACTGGTCATAAAAAAAAAACATCTTTTAAAAAAGACACAAATTCCTCATTTTGCGTTAATTCTATTTGGAACCACACTCTCTTATTACCCCTTAGCCGAGATTGGTCTCTGTATCCACCATTGTCAATGTTTCGCTCCAACTCAGTCCGATTCGGTCCGAAACCGTACAATGCAAGTGTTTCATAGACATTGAGCAACATGTTGGGCGAGTACAAAACCTGGAATGCACTTTTACCTGTTTGACTCCGCATTTTCCTCATTGCATATACGCTCACAGATCGATAGGTATTACACATGCTATATACTATCATAGACAGGTATTACACATGCATATACTGTAATGAACAGTTATGCAAGTTATTGAGTGTGTGTACGTACCAGTGGCGTTTATTTCCGGTGTCCTGTCGAGAGGTACGTGTGTACGTGTGGAGTATTGTCAGCTTAACGTGATCGTGTAAATAAACCATGTGTAATCAGTGTTAGGTTGCGTTTGTGGTTTTTACATAGCTTTTGGCGTAGGCTGAAAGCGCTCGTAAGACCAGAAAGTTAGTGACGTCATAAAAAAATGGGATAACCTGATTTACCCCAGAATGGTTTGAGCTTGCATAAGTTTTTTGGTTGTTGGTCGCTGAATAAGTGACCAGTGGTCGTGAGGCGGCAGTAGGTTAGGGTGACTAGCGGATGCTAGGCCTGTGTACAGTGTAGCTATTAGGCTGTGTGAGCCAGTGCGCTGCGCTGGATAAGCCGGTGCGCTGTAGGTCTTGTCTAGCCCCCCCC